ACTTGACGTTTGCTTATAAAAATCATCGTCTTTGTAAATAAAACGATTTCCGTTGAAAAAGATAATACACCGTCCATTAAATCGCTTGTTGTAAAATCTAAACAAACGTTGGTAGGTGTAAAATCCAAATCTAGTAAAGCCTATTATAAAGAATATGAAAAGTTGTTTCCATGGATGAAAAGGAAGTTACTTACGAATAAAGTCTTAAATGCATCGATAATGCTGGGATATATGAAGGAAATGTCAAAGGTATTTAAATCTCCTATCTTTTGGTGCATTAACTCAAAACTTCAAACAATACTGCGAATAAAAGTGGAACAGATTTGGAAGCATATCCTAAATTACACGCGTTTGTGAAACCTTCACCCAAAGGTTAGGTACAAGCCAAAGAAATGTTCTGCATTTACAGAAAGCGACCTAAGAGGATCTTTTATTTCAGCCCCAGATGACAGTTTCAAAAGTCATACTTGAAGTATCGTTACTTAGCAACTTTAAAGCACGTGTGTTTTAAAGGCCCTTTTTCGCACGCATTTGAGTGTTTAAAACGGAGATTGTGATTCAGGTATAATAAAAAAACTTTTTATACGGAACTGTGCTGCTATATAGCATATAGGGTCATTGGTTTTTTGAAATAAAAACAACTGAATGCTGCCTTATTATGGGAAATAAAATGTTAAACAACTTTCATAAACATGTTGCATACGTTTGATATTTACCGAGATCATAATCGGTACCCTGTGTAAAGAAGTCTTGTACAAATTTAATGGTGAACGTTTGTAACTAATGATAAAAAAACGTAATTTAACAAGACAACAGGCAACATGACAGTTTTCAATATCTATTATAAATTTACTATCACTCTCTTCGCAGCACATTAACATTAGAAATCATTAAGGGCTGGTTATTTGATTTTTTCTTAACACTTCCCCTAATAATCAAGTCTACAGAATAGAAGCACTATTCGCCCACCACGAGGCACTTCACTTACTCCGATGATGGCATGATGATCGCAGGCACTCGAGGCACTGTCTAGTGGGAGGTTTGGTGAGAAAATCAGCTTCTTGTTCATCTGAATTCTAATTTGACCAGAATCCAAACGCTCGCGGACGAACTCCCTTCTGATGTCAGTATGCTTTATGCGGCTGTGGAAAACAGGATTCTTCATTAGAATAATGGCACTTTGATTATCCACTTTCACTTACCGCAACAGTCTTGACGGAGGAATAGGACCACCAGCGTACTTGAACAAGATTCCGGTCATTTATTTCCTTGTTTCTCGGTCCCCGCCGTAGTCCGCATCACAAAATGCTTCAAGATCCTCACGATACTTGTACAAAATTCCATAGTTTGGAGTTCCCTTCATGTTTTTAAAGAGTTGTTTCATCAATAGCTTCACGGTATGGAACTTTGGCCCCCAATTCCTGCCGTTCGAGATCTTCGGAAGCACCTCTTTCAATAGCTGTTGAAACTGAATTACCACTCGACATTATATAAACCGGTCAAAAATTTTTCGCGTGTAAGCTTCCTGGGAAATAAAAATTGAACAATCGCCCAACTTTTGAATTTTTAATTTGTAGAGCTGAGGGTCGTAAATCCTTAACTCTCCCAAGCGAATCCGATACAAGATAACAATTTCCGGACTGTATCGCTGGTTCAAATCCGGCTCGAAGGACCAAATGTAGAGCTGAGGGTCGTAAATTTTTAGTTCTCTCAAGCGAATCTTATATAAGATAAAATTTCGGTCGGAGATTATCTCGTATCTTAGAAACTTGGTACTTCACAGAACGAGTTACACACTTTGACAGTTTGACATGTACTAAAAACATTGGGGAGCGTCTTATTCCAGCATCCAGGAGCTTGGCGTAAATGTTTTAGTATGTGCCCACACTTCCTTGCTAGTCATAGACATATTTACCTGCGTTGATAAACCCAAAACAATAATATTCTGAGCTATAAATTCAAGTTCCTTGAAGACTTCCTTCTCTTTATCATACGATACCCTAACCTTGGACGTTGCATCTGTAGTCAGTCCAGTAGATTGTATTGCTTTACTCTCCACTATGTCCATACAGCCATTTACATTCAACTGAATTTTGACTTGGAATTTTCAAACAACCCAATTGGAATGTTCCTCCAATTTATCTATCAGAACTCGCGAAACTTCCATGACAAATAACCCAGACGATAAAATAAAATAAAGGCAATAAAAAAAATAAAAATAGTAAGTTCTCCTACTAAAACAATGCGTACGACACACTTCCGTTACGACCGTTCACAACGAAGTTCCAACAAAAATAAATTCGCGCGCAATACTGGGCCCATAACCTGATGAGACCTGTTGTTAAATAAATAAAGAAGTCTTGCACGAATTGAATGGTAAACAGATGTAAGTAATGAAAAAAAGAACTGTAATTTAAAATGGAAAAAGCACATGACGGTTTTCAGTATCTGTTACGTATTTACTATCACTCTCTTAGCAAACAGTATCCAGCAAAAATCCATGCCAAAAAAACCAAAGGACTGCTGTCTTGTGGGGCCATACCAAGCTACGCCAACTTTTCCTCTGGGTACAATTTAATGGCTGGGGTTTCAACAGGTAATTGCTTCGGCCCTCGATACAAGAAGTAACCACCTATTGCGGCACAATCATTCTTGGATGTCGTATGATTTTGTAGTCGTATTCTCAATCGGTTAAGGCAAGTTCCCCCCCCCCCCCTCGCGTATTGTGAACGACGCCATTAGTATTTTATCGGAATCTCTTGCAATATAAAAATTGATTCCCATCTTGCACTATAAACGGAAAAAGCTCATAAAGTTTTTATGTCTATAAACTCCTTTTGAATACCTACTACTAAGGCATTGAATTTCTTTTACTCATGACGTCAACCACATACAACGTCGTTCATTAGTGCAGAAGCTTTGGAGGTTGAATTTACTTTTTCAAATAAGCAATAAATTATATACAGAATTTCTATTTTAAATTTTACTATTTAACCGTAAGGACGATTCGTAAGGTAAACGATCTACGCCAGGAGCGTGACAGTATCATACACAATGTGGTAAATTCTTAAAGGAAAATATTGCCGGCCATATCTGCTTCAGAAAACCGTGTCATTAGTCAATTTTGGACGCTAGGTTCAATTCATTTTTGCTTTCTTTCTTAATCCCTGTTATAATGGGAAATAAAATGTAGAAACGATGATATTGCTATTTCTGACGCAATTAGACTTTTAGCAGACGACCTACACGCTATTCTGACTGCTTCATGTCCCTCCTATTTTTTTTACTTTGCTTTTTATGTTGCCGCGTAGAAAACCCGTTACGGCCCCAACGAAACAGGAAGGCTATCTCTATCTCTCGTCCAGACAATTCATTTTACCTTTGTGGGTACGGTCCTCCGACAAAGCGTTTTCGAGATACTCGCTCGTCAAGTTTTAACATCACCAATAGATATATTTCTTCCAGACGTCCCAATCGCCCTTTGTGAGTACCATCATCCAACAATCAGTTCTTGAGATATAAGGAATTATTTATATCCCATCACGATAATGAGTCGAGGAAGAGACTGTGGTTTGTAGAAATTAATTCGAGTACCATAAAGAATAAAACCAGTTCCGCCCGCACCCCCCGCCCCTCAAATCTCCTTTTTTGATAAGCAATCAGAAAGTAGGGCGGTAGTTGGAAGAAAACATTTCCTTTTGTTGAGACCTTTACCTAATTGGAATACCAGGAAAAATAAAATAATTTTTACCTCATTGATCTCTAAAAAGAGTCGCACGGGAAAGTTATAGTTTGTAGAAACCAATTTATTTCGATGAGACCTTTCATTAGAATACCATGAAGGGTAGAACATGTGTTTATCCCCCCCCCCCCCCCCCACAGCGAAATGTGATAGACGTGTGGCACACATTTAAGGTATAGGCTACCTATTGCAAAAAAATCCAGGACCTTAGGACCATTACCCTACAAGTAGTTCAAAACGGCAGAAGGTGGTCCGGACGGACGGACGGACAAAACGCAAACAATAGCACAAGATGGCTGTGTCCATCTCGTCTCCTCTAATTTCGATTTTATATTAATCAATTGTCTTATAATATTATGTGAGGACAAAAAGTTTTTTAAATTGTTAATATTGTTATTGTTTCCCATGTCATAAATTAGTAATTTTTCCTTAAGTATAACTATATTCTAGACTCGTTTCTAACACATGTTTTACAGCATACTGATAACCAAAATGTACCATTTTAAATTGTAACTTTTCAACCACCTTTACATGTTCTCTTAAATTTAAGGTATGTTACCTAAGGTTTAGTCATCGTTTCAAATATTAACATTTCAGCTTGATTAATGACCTTCGGGTCGAAACTATAGTCGCTGTCACCTAATGCCTTTATTTTAATACCGAAAATAATAAAAAGAAGTGGGGAAGGTTTAGTGTCTTTATCAATCCACTTACCTGAAATTACACTTTTCAAAGCAAAAACAAAGATAATAAAACGGCTCGCTTGCACGTTATTCGAGGGATCGAGAAACACTAACCCACGCCGACTTTTTTTACCTAAAAGCGCCCCCTATTGAGCAACAGTATAAACATATACTTTCAAAACGGTAAAATTACGCGTATGGATTTATGCATTAGATATCGCTGCCAAAAATTTAAAGCTTCTGTGACGTTACACGAGACAGTGGCGTGGCGACAATAGGAGCTAAAAATTCCGCCTAGCCGCCATGTTGCATCGAGTGTATAAGCAATATTGTATTGTAGTGTACGTAACACATGTCATACGTCACATACGTGTTGCCTATTTCGAGCTTCAATTTTTGATGCAACATGACGGCTGGGTTTCTATTGTCGCCATGGTCTTTATAAAGTCAACAGCAATAAAACATGTTTGCATTGTTTCATTTGGATCAGGAGAACATAATTCGAAACAATGTAACCCCTTAATAAATCTGAAACCTTTAGTCTGCGATCCTGATTTTGAGAGAAAGGCAGAAGGTTAATGAATTTTTCACAGTCCAAAAATAAGTTGTGGCAGTAATCAATCTGGCTTTATCACGTGACTAAAGACACTATCGAAATAACAATCGAAGTACTCCACGTGGTCTTCATCGAAACCACACAAATTGAGCTCTCTGATTGTCTTCAATATTGAGAGTCCGAATTCTTGATGAAGATCTGCTGGAATTTCCATTGGAATGTGCGAGATGAAGTGCCCTGGAAAAGTAGGTCTTATCGTTTAACAAGGTTGATCACCTTCAATTACCTGGCCAGTACGAGAGTGACAGTTTCGCTCCTCTTGGTTCAATTGTCAGATTCGTGACGCGAAATCCTGCTTTAACCAGAAGATCTTCTAGTTCGCCTAGGGGGTTCTGCGAGAACTGATAGGGCGAGATGAAGTTTTCGTAGTCAGCGATGTGAGGGCGCCACTTGTCCGTTAGAGCCATATGAGCGATGACCTTGAAGAAATTGCTGGAGGTGACACAGGAAAAGCTGAAGTCACCTCCGGGTCTCAGCATTTTATGAATATGTTTTAGCGCTGTCCTGGAATAGAAGATTGGCGGAGAGGTTATCAGAAAATTCGAGACTCACTCTTGTTCACGGACAAAGTGAAGGCACGAGAAGGAAACGACGTGGTCAAAATAATTGAGGTGAGAATCCACGAAATTTCGGTCGTGGACAATATCAACGTGTTGAAAGCGTAATTTTCCTCCTCCATACTTAGCATTGGCATATTCCACTACGGTCCTGTCCCTATCGATCCCGATAACTTTGCTTGTGGTTACTGGTAACTTTGGTCGAAGAACATCGTGCGTTACGTTGCCTGTTGCACATCCCACATCCAACACTTTGCAGTGCTTTTTCCATTTAACGAAGGTCAGCAATTTCTCCACAGCACTCTTCGCCTCCCTTTCTGCGGGGAGGTTGTATTTTATAAAGCATTCAGCTCTGTTCATTACTAATATCTCGAACAATATCAAACAAAGATCTCCTCATCTTACTACGCGCAAATGATCAAACCATTACGTTGTAGTGACCCGTGACCAAAGACGGCTAATCACATCAAGTCAAAGTTCAACGTCAATCCAAGACAAACAGTGATTACATCAGAATTGCAATTGCAAAAAGGTTAAAAATGCATTGTAAATTTGATTACGTGGTTTTTTATTTATAATTAACTAATAATAGTAGTAATTATTGTTTATCACAAGCGCATCGAAATTGGAACTGAACTGAAATACGCTACACTTTGCTTATATAGTAAACGATAATTGTTCTATGATGTTCTTAGAGCGATTCGGAATGGTCTAGAATAAACATGTATTTTTCCCGGAAGCATTGCGTCATATCGTTTTTTTTTAAATAAAAAAGATAAGTGAATGCTTGTTGGACATACAAGTATTGCATTAAGAATTAGAGTATTAGCCAACAAAAGACGGAATTGGAGGGATTAAGAGGAATTAGTGGAAAAGATTGTATCTTTCGATTTCCCCCTAGATTAAGATGATCACTTAGGATGATACATTCTTAGGTCAAAGTACGGCCACAATTTATAACTAAGAAGTTACTTTAATATTCAGAATGCGTTCTTATACTGAAAATATTCTGTACACAATTTATTGGCTCCTTCGGGAGATACACCAAAAAGTTCGTTCACATCTTCCCTGCGGCGTGCCAAACGGGAAATTTTTGATAGATTATTAAAATCGTCATAGTAAAATTATAGCTGACAAGACCCAAAATCCGGCGGATATTGAAAATGACCGTCCGATTGAAAAACGAAGGAAAGCGACAGAGGGTTTTAAATTACCAAAGCAAACCCGATAGCGATAGCCAATCTCAGATTTGCACTTTCTTAACATATTTCTGCGATTCCTTGTAGACCAACACGAATAGAACGTAATTGTGATCCCTTCGAGCTTTCCTAGGGATGGCGTGCACGATATAGGGTAGTGTACAGCTGAAAAGTTAATAACTGACGTTGCAACTTCCCAGCAAACTTCAGGGTTAAAGTAGGTGATAAATAAGTGTACCAATCAAGCGGAAAATTGATGCTTTCCCATTATTGGCCAACGCATGCCATATATTTATCGCGCCCTTGCAATCGCTTTGACACTAATTAAATCCGGACTTGTGTTGGCGTCAACCGAACATCAAGCTATCAACGTATTCATTTTTCTTTTTCTTTACTGTGTTGTCGGGCTAGTCTTATTGTAGTGTAGATCGTGGTTGTTTTTATTTTATTTAGTCGGAAATATTCTTCGAAGGGTCAAATGCTCATTTCTCCCACTTTACAAAGGAAAAATAGTATGGGGCGAAGAATATTTTAGAGTAGTTTCACTTTCGGTTGAATTGAAAATATTAAAAAATATTTTTAAAACATGAGAAACAAGTATAAATGATGCATAACTCTTGTGCAGATGAAGCGCATTTTTTTAAACCGAAATAGCTTTTGTTTTGACATCATCAATGGATATATGGCTTGCAAACGTCTCAATCGCCTTTTGTGAGTACCCTCTTCCGACAATCCGTTCTTGAGGTATAAAGGAATATACCCGATCACGATAAGAGGTCGAGGAGGAGGACTACGGTTGGTAGAAATTAATTCCTTTTGTTGAGACCTTTCATTAGAGTACCAAGAAGGATAAAACTAGTTCCACTCCCCCCTCCCCTCCTCCCCTTGCTTTGATAAGAGGACAGAAAGAAGGGCAGTAGTTGTAGTTTTAAGAGCTTATTCAAGATATGCTTTTGTTTCTTTTAAAATCCACAGTTTACTAGATATGAGCGAAAAACAGATTTAATGATTTTTCATTTAACCTTTGTAGAATCGTTAGTATTAGAAATACAGAAATATGCAAAGAACAAAAATTGTAGATTTTTTTCCGCTTAATAAGATTTATGCTTCTTTTATAATTTTCGAGTTATAACGCAAATTTACATTTTTTTAAATGGTATTCATAGTGCTGTGACATTTTTAAAAAGTGTATTTTTTTCTGTTTATAATGATATAAGGTTCATTGTACTTACTTTGACAAATAAACATGATAAAGAACGGTTTGTATTATTAAGAGTATAGTAAATACAGATTTTGCCATGGGAAACATTTTTCTTCTCTTAATTACTGTCTATTATAATATTTAACTTGCAGTTAGTTGTGCGGCGGGGCACCGTTGTGTTGAAACCAGCGTAAATTACGTCGTGTTTCCAAATCTCACCCATCCTACATATCTTGAAATTCATTTGGTAGAAAATGAAGATAACATTGGCCTGTCCAATTTTCGTCGTAAATGAAAGGTACCTATCTCACTAGATATTGTTTTCTATGGCCAACTCTGTTTACTTACCTCTCAATAATACGAAAATTACTGCAGGGCGTTTATTTATTAAAGTACATTTAGCAAGCCTTATATCGTTATAAAGAGAAAAATTTGTACTTTTTAAAAATGTCAAAGTCAAATATGACTACCATTTAAAAAAATTAAAGTTTGTATTATAACTCAAAAATTGTAAGATCTAAAAATAAATTAGTATGTTCATCATGTTAAGTATTAAAATGTCTGAAACTTTTATTCGTGTTATTTTGTTGTTTTTCTAATAATAACGATTCTACAACAGTTAAATGAAAAATCACTAAATTTGTTTTTCGCTCATATCTAGTGAACTGTGGATTTTTTTCAAAAAACAAAACCATATCTTAAATAAGCTCTTAAAACGACAACTCTTTCCTCATCCTCAATCCGTATGTCTTATGGTTTCCGAGATTCCAATGCTTAAAATGAAAAAAAACTCACCCTGTATATAGATTCGAGAACTTATTCCCGAAATTTCAATCTGTTATTAAAATCGAGAGGTCTGTGTCTCCTGCTGGGCGAAGTACTTTATGGTGAACTCGCGTTTGCCTCCATCGCCATTGGTACACAAAGAATCTTGTCTTTCCAGCGCAGTCGGTACACTATTCTTGCCGAAGACACAAAAGAAAAAAAACAAACCATACCTTTTTTGAAAAAAAAAATTTGGAATTCTCTTAATTCGGGAACTTAGCTTCTTCGCAGTAAGCATACAATTCTCGCCGAAGATTGCCGAGTGAGCCGAAGGCAAGTTCAGCAGAACCTCTACCCAGCATTCAGCCCTGTGATGTATCAGAAACATCAAACTTAACGTGCAGGTTATTCGCCAAAAAACCTTATTTTGCGTTATTTAGTATGGGCAAAATAACGTTTAACGTTTTTGATACATCACAGGGCTGATTATCTATCTTTTTTGAGGAAATAATTGGGAGTACTACTTAATTCAGAAACTTCCTCGAAATTTTCAGTTTTTCAAAATTAAATTAAAAAATTAAAATCCAGAGTTCTCTCGCCCTTTCTCGCTTTCAGCTCGCTCGGCATTTGTACACAGAGCACCTTGTCATTGGAGCCCCAATGGCGTTGGCCGAAGATCACCGAGAGAGGCGAAGGGTAGGTAGCCATTAGTCACACCCCTAACCAGCATTGTGTACCTTTTTTGGAAAAAAAATCAGAATGTTTTTGATTCGGGAACTTTCCCGAAATTTCAATCTGTTACTAAAATTTTGGTCGAAATATCTTATACAGAACTCGTCTTCGGTTCGCTCGGCATTGGTACACGACCGCCTTGTCCTTGCAGCCTCAATGGTCTTGGTTTCCTCGTAGTTTGTACACTACGTTCGCCGAAGATTGCACTGTTTACCTTTTTTGGAAAAAAAAAATCGGAATTCTAATTCGTGAATTTTCCCAAATTTTCAATCTGTTATTAAAATGGAGACGTCTTTCTGCCTTCTTTTGGTGGAAACACTTTATGCCGAACTCGCCTTCGGCCTCGAATTAGTACACAAAGGACCTTATCCTTGCAGTCCCAACAGCCTTGGCTTCATTATAGTTGGCACACAACGCTCGCTGCCGAGCGAACAAAGGCGACTTCGGAACATCTCTTAACCAGCATTGTCAATCTTTTTTGGAAAAAAACTATCTCAAAATCTCTTCTATCAAAAGGGAGAGGTCTGTCTGCTGCCTTTTGGTCGAAATACTTTTCGCTGGGCATTAGTAGTACACAAAACACCTTGTCCTTGCAGCCCCAATGGCCCCGTCTTCCTCGTAGTTGGTACACTCTACTTGTCAAAAATTGTCGAGCGAGCCGAAGGCGAGTTCGGCACACCTATACCCAGCATTGTTTATCTTTTTTGGAACTCGGATTTCTTGTAATTTTTGTAATTTTCCCAAAATGTCAATCTTGTATTAAAATCGATGTGTGCCTTTTGGTCGAAATACTTTATGCTGAACTCGCCTTCGGTTTGCTCGGGATTGCACAAACAGCCTTGTCCTTGCAGTCCCTAGTGGCCTTGGTTTCCTCGCAGTTGGTACACGACACTCGCCGAAGATTGCCTAGTGAGTCGAAGGCGATTTCGACTCAATCTCTGTCTTCTTTTTTTTTTAAATAAAATTGGATTCAAAGTCAGTAACTTTCCCGAAATTTAAATCTTTTATTAAAAACGAGAGGTCCGTGTCTTTTTTTAGCGGAAATACTTTATGCCGAATTCGCCTTCGGCTCAAAGTTGGTATACTATGCTTGCCAAAGAACTCCTACTCAGCATTGTCTTTCTTTTTTGGAAAAAAATTTCGGAATTCTTCTAATTCGGGAACTCCTTTATCAAAATCGACAGATCTGCCTGTCGCCTTTTGATCGAAAGATTTTATGGTATTGGTATTGCTAGACAAAACACCTTACCCTTACAGCCCCATTGGCCTTGGTTTCCTCGGAGTTGGTAAACTATTCTCGTCGAAGATTGTCGAGCGAGCCTAAAAGATCGGTACAACTCCTCCCATCTAGCCTCCCATTGTCTCCCTTTTTTTGGAAAAGAATTGTGAAGTCTTCTAATTCGGCAGCTTTCCAGAAATTTCAATCTTCTTAACAGTGAGAGGTCCCTGCCTTCTTTTCGCTAAGATACTTTATGCCAACTCTGATGTAGTGCTTTTGCCACAATCACTACCCAGCATTGTGTTCCTTTTTCACGTA